ACACACACACACACACACACACACACACACACACGCATAACACACACACAAACACACACACAGGCCATATGTATGATGACAGTCAGTACTGTACTCATGTACGGCAGCCCGTCATGTCATGTCCAATTTGTAGACGGGCTGGAACGACAATGCCTCTATAATTGTGGTCGACGTGGTTCTGTGTTCCTAGCATGTACGACCCACGTAGCCTGTGATATCTTTCTGCGTGGTGCCATTCGATGCAGCAACTGTGACTATGAAAGTTGGATGCGGTGCTTCCATAGCCCACACCCGAACCGGTCTGTCCGGTCTGTAAGGGTGGCCATTTGGCATAGTTTTTCCCCCTGCTCTTTGCATGTCATACTCTATCCTGCCCTTCACATATTTCTTTCCTTCCCGTTGCCCCTACCTCCCCTGCCCCATACTCCTACAGAACTCTGCCTTGTATCCCTTACCCTCCACCCTCCCCTCCACTCCCTTTGTACTACTAACAAATACATACGAATGAACATCATCAAGAGAACAGACGATATGAAGATCAGAAATGAAATGAACGGAAGTATGAAGATGAAGGACGGACACAAAGACTGTATAAGCTGAAGATCAAGTGGGCTGTGAAGACACACGGGGATGTGGGCAGCTGCCGCTCAACCACAATCAACGTGGGCAGCCTTGTGCGTAAGAGGCACAGTATAAGGGGAGCTGCAAGAACACTGAAAGGGGTACCCCAAGGACAACCAAAAAACTGTCTAATTGTAAAATTAGTTTAAATTACTTTAATATGTTGGACATCTCGAATGCTCTTGTTGTCTGCAATAGGACAAAGACTGCTTTGATTCTGAAGCTAGTCACCTGGGTGGATTTGGGGCTGTTGTGGGGAAAATCTAAAACAGACACACATATATATATATATATATATATATAGAGAGAGAGAGAGAGAGAGTTCCCACTTTCCATTTGTGCAGGAGTGTGGTGCCTTTACGATGGACGGTTGAGTTGGCGCTTGGTGCGTAAGCACACAAATG